TGTCAGCTCTAAACTTCTTTGCTCTCATTTACCATCAAAGTCCTACTTTGAGATCCGTGTGTGCTAAGTCACTTCAGTTGTGTCCAACTGTTTGCAGCCCCATGGACTATAGCCTGCCAGGCTCCTCTGTCCATGGGATTCTCAGGCAAAAATACTGGAATGGGTTGCCATTCCCTTCTCCAGAGGATCTTCCCGACTCCAGGAATCAAACCCAGGTCTCTTATGTCTCCTGCATTGGCAGGCAGGTTCCTTACCACTAGTGCCACCTGGGAAGCCCTGCTCTGAGTTCCAGGGGCCCCTGTAATTGCAAAGAAATATGTTCTCATACTGTTGATTCTGCATTAGAAAATAAGAAACTATTTTGGGGGTGCTAGGCTAGAAAAGCTCAATGGCAATTTCTGACTTGATACAAATATTCCAAGCAGTTCATAATTTGTACTTTAAAAGGAAATGAAAAATGTTTGAAAAAAATTAAAGATGGTTGTTACTACTTTCCTTGGTGAATCCAAAAATCCCTCTTTTAAAAAAAAATGCTGTAAGAGTATTCAGTTACTTTTTCTATTACAAATAATATTTCAGGGGCCTGCCCCCAGATAGGAAATTATGATCCCTGTTCTGTATGATGCTTAAAAACAATATAAACCCAAGTGCTAAAGAAAGGACTGGCTTTAAATTGATTCAGTACTTGCATTTTATTATAGGTTTCAGAAAGGTAACATCTGTATATAACTAAATACTGTTTCTCTTGGAATAATAAAAGGATGATAATCAAAAAAAATAAAAAAAAATAAAAGGATGATAATCTTAATTGGGGAAATTGTGAAGAAAATACAATGAAATATCCCTATATTCTTTCAGCTTTCAGTGGGAGAACAGGATGCTGCAAAGGTGAAGTTAATTTGGGGCATTACCCATGAGCATACAGCTGATTAGGTAGGCAGAGGTCCTCATTACAAATTAGTCTCTCCTGTGAAGCTGACAGGTTTCCCTGGTGGTTCAGAGGGTAAAGAATCTACCTGTAATGCATGAGACCCAGGTTCGATCCTCTGGGGAAGGGAATGGCAACCCACTCCAGTATTCTTGCCTAGAGAATCCTATGGACAGAGGAGCCTGGCGGGCTACAGTCCATGGGGTTGCAGAGTCGGACATGACTGAGCGACTTTGAAGCTGGTGGGGATTTGAAGACTCTGAGAAGCCTTAGAAACTCCTCCTGGAATGTGGCATCGTGAAAAAGGCGACTGGAAACAAAAGGGAACCACAAAAGGAAGTTTGCCCTGAGCATTTTACTGAGGAAATGGGCCTGGAAAAGAGAAGTCTATTTATACAAATAAAGAAGGCTTCAATTTTTAATATACACCTGTGGGAGTATTCACCATCCAGAAACACAGCACAGCATGCAGCTACGTCACAGAAACCAAGCTGCCCGAGAACAAGTGCTTTGTAATTGGAGCAGTATTGTCCAGACTAGATGCCTTCGACCCTGGACAGGGGGAGAAGATGGGTACAGCGCTGAAAGAGAAGCTGGGGAGGAAGGGCCTTCGGCTTCCTGGGGTCGGGCTGAGGCTCCAGGCTCACGTTTCCTTTTTGTAATTTTATTCATTTTTGGCTGTGCAGAGTCTTCACTGCTGTGTGGGCTTTTCTCTGGTTGTGGTGCATGAGCTTCTTCCTGCCGTGGCTTCTCTTGTTGCTGAGCACGACAAGGCACATGGACTTTGGTAGTTGCCGCTCTCAGGCTCTAGAGCGCAGGCTTGGTCATTGTGGCCCACGGGCTTAGTTGCTCCACGGCAGCTGGGATCTGCCCAGATCAGGGATTGAACCCATGTCTCCTGCATTGGCAGGCATATTCTTTACCACTGAGCCACCAGGGAAATCCTGAGCTCACATTTTGATATCTGAAAAGCCTTCATAAAGTGAAGTGCTTATTGGATTTCTTGGCTCCCTGATTAGCCAGTGAAGACTCAGTATATTTACCTTCTTTCTGTGCATTTTCATCTTTCATTAAAATCTTGTGTGAATAGACCTCTTTAAAGCTCTGTAAAGTACACCATCAGAAAATCCTCTAGAAAGAGATTGGATCTGTATCTCTTGTACAGAATAGAAATGCCTTAAAGGAGGTGATTACCCCCAAAGACCTCCTGCAGCCCCTCCCTGGCCGGATCCATCATCATCTTGTCTTGACTCAGTGGGAAGAGAAGTACAGTTTGGGCCACAACATGCAGCCACCCCTACCACCAGCCCTTCTAGGCCTGTGTGTAGCCTGCATCACTGGAAGCCCATTGTGGCCTCCAGTCAGGAAAGCAAAGATTCTTGATTCATTGCACAGTTGAGGATTTCTGTGTCTGCTGCCACCATTCTCCTGAAGCCCCTTTTGGTAAAATCAGCAATAGATTTTTCTGTTTTCCCAAGCTGGGGCTTTCAGCCAGAAAACCCAGTAAAAGTAGCAGCCACTCCTCTGTGTGCCCGCCACTGTGCTGGGCACAGATTTGTGGGCCTTTTTAGTCCTCTGGACATCGGGCACTGTTCCCACCGTCTAAGAAATCTTCTCTTGACTTCGTGATCCTGCTGTCAGGCTTCTTCCAACTTTGTTTCAGGTTCCTTCATTGACTCTACTTTCTTCCCCATGTCTTCATTTATACTTAATTTCTTAAGTACTCAATTAATACTTCCTAAGTATTACCCATCCCTGCAGGGTGATTCTTAGCCCTCCTCTAGTTCACTCTGAGCCACTTTGTCAGCTCCTATTTCCTCGGTCACCCCCCTCTCTGTGTTTAGATTTCCAGATCTGATTCTTATTTCCAGTTTCCTACCGGACATCTCTGCCAGATTATCAAGGAGATAATAGGATTCAGAAAGGTTTCTTGCAAAAGCGCAGTCTGCTCTAGTGGTCTTTATCCCAGCTAATGGCCTCTTCATCCTCAGCATCCTACCGCTCACCACGTGGACCAGTCAGAAGACCCTCTTGATTCTTCCTCATCAGAATGGCAGCTCCCCTTCCATTCTCCAGAGTATCGACCTCAACTTGGGGGCTTAGGACTCTGGTTTGAATTTATACCTTCCTGCCTCCCCACATTCAGCCTCTAGCTGTTTCAGTCCATACAACCCACTGTAGCTATCTTTCTGCAACACAGACCTGATCAAGTCACTCCCTATTTGAAAGCACCCAGTGGATCCTAGGTTGGCAGAATAAGTTACAACCATCCAAACCTACTGTACCATCCTAATCTCCCACCAGTTATGCAAACCCATATTTCTCATTTCCAGATGTGTGCATGTGTATGTTGATTCTGCTGCTAAAACAGCCTCTTCAGTCCTCTTCGGCCACCTGGAGAATCCCCTCCATCCTTGAAGAGCCAGGTAAGTCACCTGGCTCAGGACGCAGCTGGTTGAATGAATGGATGAAGACTTGCCCACTCCCTCCTGCGGAGTCAGGCTCTTGCTGCCCAGCACTCTGGAAGTTCTCTGTTCCCATCTCTGTCACATCTGTCAACATTTGTGTTGTAGCTGCTCTCAAGCCAGGAATGGTGATATGTCTCTCCCTGTCCATGGCAGACGTTCCCAACCCTCCTTACTGCAGAGCCCAGACGCAGCTCGGAATCCATCTCAACATAGCACTAGACAGCCGCATTCAGCAGACCGAAGTCTGCACACGATCTGAGGTCTCTGTGACATCCCTCAAAGTAGACTGCATTTCTCCAGCTTGTGGGCCACTTAATACCCACTCAGTTGCAGAATGAATAACAGATGGCTTTTCTTTTTTCTTTGGGACAGGGTTTCTTAATACTACATAACATGTTGGTTTTTAACCTTATGTTAAGGGGAATGTGTGTGTGAGTTGCTCAGTTGTGTCCGACTCTGTGCAACCCTACGGACAGCAGCCCACCAGGCTTCTCTGTCCCTGAAATTCTCCAGGCAAGAATACTGGAGTGGGTTGCCATTCCCTTCTCCATATGTTAGGTGTATGTTAATACTATTTCATGTCACAGATAACTGTCCACAAGAGTGTATTCGCAAGAGGTGATTTGTTGGAACCCATTGTTACTCTTTGCAAAGAATTTTTCACACGTATGCACACATTCAGGCCATACATTCCACGCCTTCACACACAGGTTCAGTCACCAAAGTGCTGCCTGTTCCTGCCACAGCCTCTCTCTTTACAGAATTCAGCCCACGGTTTTACCTTCCAGTCAGCATGCTGCATGTTATTTCTTCTAGCCTTCAACTTATCTTGTACATTTCCAAGAGCTGGTTGGATAAAGTATTAAAAAATAAAAGTATCTAACCTTACATGCCAATTTCATATCTCTTTCTGGCAATCAACAAAAGAAAAGTGGTGAGTCTGGGTAATTTTAAAACTAGTTAAAAAGCACTTCACAGGCACTGCTTTTCTTCTGTACTGCATGAAACACTTAATATTACATAGTAATACTCTCAGTAATCAATTTTCTTTATCTCTGATGCAGATATAGTAGCTCTCAAAAAGGTGTGTCAAAACAACCAGGAAAATGTGAAACACCTTTTCCATGGCTCAAGCGAGAGATGAAATGTAATTATCATTACAGAGTTCAATGAGTTGTATTCAAACTATCGGACCTTCTTTCATTCTGGTCACATTTCAGAGTTTATAAATGGAAAATGGGTAATATAAAGGAAGAAATCAAGAAAGCTCATATTTTCCCTCAATTCCCTTAATGTACATAGGACAGCTGGTCCTGGAATGCGCAAAGCAGAAGGCTCGTGCGTGTCAGTCATAATAAGACTGTGCAATGCAGTAAACAGAACGATGAGAAAACAGTAAAAAGGAGAGACAGGGTCTGGGAAAGCCTGCAGCAGTTTCTGTAAAATAACAGTGGCACTGCAGCAACACGTGTCTACAGAGCCTGTTCTCTTCACTGTCTGATGAGTCTGCCTGTTGATGAATTACTGAAATCGTTTCCTCTCACCTTTTTATGTATTTTCTCTCCTATTATGTTCTCACCTGTCTTGTCTGGAAAACCCATCAGGCTAACTGTCAGGTAGGTTCTTCTTGATGTTTAATGTGATTATTAGGAGTGTCCACAGCAGGAAATGAAGTAAACAGACTGTGGGTGGCCTGTGATGAATGATAAAACTAACCAGAAAAGGCAAATGCTAAATTACAGAGAAACTTTTTGCAGATGCGTGAAACTGTAGAAGCTGCTAACCCTAAGCACATTCAGCCATTGTGAACATCTATCATAAGAACTTTAGCCTAAAGGATTACCTCAGCTCTAAATGATGAAGTAGGTTACCTGGACTGTCCGGTTTTTACCATGGCTCAGAATACAGCCTGCCCCCAGAGGGATCGAGCGTCATGGAGTGATACTATATCCTATGTGGCCACAGCAATTCTGCTGCAAATATGCTACCAGCTTTTACAGATTTGGCCAGGTGCAAGAAAAATTCCCAATGATGTATTCTAAATCCCTATTTTAAGTATGTATTCAGACATGCCTTGTACCTTGAAGAAAGAGACTGGGAAGAAACAGGGAGAGGTGGCGTGTACTTTGTTCATGTTAAGCTCACCCTTGGAGTTCCATCTGACATGGCTTAACTGTCCAAAAGAATGTCGCTTGAAATTGCAGTAGGGGGCGGAGCTGTTTGTTTCTCTTCTTGGTGTCACAGAACAGCAGTATTCCTTCACCCACATGAAGCAGCAGAAAAGCTCTATTTAGATCCTCAAGTGCAAGACAGATACTTTATAAACCTAAACCAGAACTGAGCCCAAGAGAAGAGAGACATATATTTAAATTAGAGTATGTTTGGTGTGTGTGTGTTGTTGTTGTTTTTAACTTGAGCTTATTTTTATCTTTCAAGAGAAAAAATTATGTGCTACAGTTGCCATGCAACACAAACTGCTCTAACAGCTTTCTAATTTTAATTTCAGAAGTCTACAGAGCAAATGAAGAAGGTTCCAACTATCATCCTTTCAGTCTCGTATAAAGGAGTCAAATTTATTGATGCAACAAATAAGGTGGGTACCATACCTCTACAGTCCTGGGTAAATGATCTAAAATCCTTTGCTTCCCATCATACTTAACATCCCCATTTTATTTATTTAATTTTTCTTAATGTTTTGGCTACATCGTGCGACATGTGGGATCTTAGTTCCCCAAGCAGGAATCAAACCTGAGTTTAAGTCTTAACCACTGGAGTCTTAATCACTGGACCACCAGGGAAGTCCCATCATCCCCCATTTTAATCACTCCCGAACCCCCACCTTCATGCTTCCTAAACACACACACACACACACACACACACACACGCGCGCGCGCGCACACACACACACACACACACACACACACCTTGCATTTGGAGGCTTGATCCAGGATTTCTCCATGCATTCACCTTTCCAAGGTACCTTCCCTCATAGACTGTGCTGTTCAGGCTCTGACAATATCCCCTTGGGTCCAGGGAACATGAAAACAGGAAAAACTATATCTAGAGTGAAAAGGCATCAATGTTCACTCCTCCGTCAGAGGAAGTGTCACTAGGCAACAGACTAGAATGTTTGTCTTTCCATTTCTCCAGAGATAGGCCTGTCCTTTCTTTTGATGAATACCTGACCCAGGGAACACATGCTCTGGCTTTTACATCATATAATTGCATTTTGTTCTCAACTACTGAGATGGAAGACAGGGTTTCAACTGTGTTGTTTTCTTAAGAGGCACCATCCAAAAAGCTCAGGCCAAGCTGTGACTATGCTATGACCTTGCACTCACTGGGAGAATGGTTCATGGGCTCCAAGGTCAAGTGTAGACAAATGGGTTGCATTTTACTTCAAAAGTGTGCTTTCTTAGCAAAGATGACAGAGTGCCAGTACTAAACTAGAAAATGTGGGTGTGACCACTCTCATCCTCCATAAACTCAAACCTGACTGGCTCTTCCTCCCAAACCCCCAAATGTCCCTGCATTTTAGTCTTACATCCTTCCAACCAATAAAGTACAGAAATTAGGGAAATGAGGTGATCCCCATTGGTGCCTATCCAGTCCTCTCAGTTGGACCCACTCCATTCTGGGGAAAGGAAGCAGAAGTCTTGAAACAGATGAATTTTAATGATGGAAATTTATGACCAGGGCACCTGGATTTAGATTCAGGGAAACATGCTGTGGCCAATGACTCTTGACTGTAATAAGCCTGACCATCTGAGTCCCCGGATTCAATGGCTTTCACCCACTGAAAGCCTTCCCAGTTTGTTTTCTGTAATGAAGACTGCTGTGTCAGTGGTCAGAGAAGCCCAAGTTCCCCAAGTGTATGAGGAGAACAGCCTCCCAGTTTTAGAAGCAGTTCTGAAATCCAGGCAGAAAGCTGATAACTCAGCCTGCTCAAGCTAGTCAATGATGTCCAGAGCACACTCAGAGTCAGATGCTTATGTGGATGATGGCTTCAACCTGGCAATATGTCATTGACAGTTACCATTCAGTTCAGTTGCTCAGTCATGTCTGACTCTTTGCGACCCCATGAACTGCAGCATGCCAGGCCTCCCTGTCCATCACCAACTCCTGGAGTCCACCCAAACCCATGTCCATTGAGTTGGTGATGCCATCCAACCATCTCATCCTCTGTAGTCCCCTTCTCCTCCTGCCCTGAATCTTTCCCAGCATCAGGGTCTTTTCCAGTGAGTCAGCTCAGTTACCATTATCAGATTACAATTGTGGGGAGCCTGATCAGAAAAATCCCAATTGATTTGCTTTTTCATTTCTTAGAAGCAACTTTAGTTGCTTCCTTTAGCCCTAGATTATAGTCAGTTGGTTTTTAAAGTTTCAAAACTTTATGGAATTCTTAAGATACCATTGCTTTCACTGTATCTAAACGTCAAGAAAGTCTTTGGCATTGACTGTTTTTGTTTTCTTTTTTTTTTAAACCTGGAGCAGTTGCCTCTACCCCATTTGCACTTGAAAATCATGAGTGGCAGTACAGTTTCAGCATATGAGTTTAACACTCTTAGATTAACAATCTTATTAGCAGGCTTGGATTCTGACATTTTCTAAACAAGTTGTATTTGCCCTGAGAAGTTTCCAGAGTCTTAAGACTGTTGTCCCATGAAGCTGGTGGCATGACTGGGTGCATCTGTGATAATAGCATCCTCTCTAACACGCTCTCCACCATCAGAGGAAGGAGAGTGCACTGTTGGCTCGGTGGCCTTTACCTTACAGATACATTAGTGGCTGTAGACCTTGATTTCCTAGACTTTGAGAAGATGCTTCTGCTTTAGTCACCCGTACTTAGATGAGTTACTCATATAGCTCTCCTCACTAAGGATTACCTGGACATCTAAACACTGAAAGATATGCCAAAGATAATTGCATGAATAAAGACACTAGATGAAGAAAGCCCGTGTGTCTTTCAAGTCCTCACAGTGTGGTCCTCAGCCTTTTCTCAAAATCCAGAGCAAAGACAGATGCATATGTTGGTGGCAGGTGGAGCCAACCTCTCTATGACCTTTAATATGTTACATTCCAATTTCATATCTCTTTTTGGCAATCACAAAAAAAAACTGATGAGTCTGGGTAATTTTAAAACTAGTTTAAAAGCACTTGCCTGGCTTTCTCAGGAATGTGGGGACATTGACCAGTGGCTGCACAGGGTCCCCATCCCAGGGTGTTGCTGATCTGCTTCCCTCTCATGGTGGATGGTGGGTGACTCAGGGCCGTGGCCTCGGAGTCAGTATGTGGGAAACCAAAGCAGAGAGCTCGTGTTAGAAGGTAGAAGAGAGAAACAGTGAAGGGCTGCGCTGGTGGCGTGTGTCTGAGGAAGGCTGAGAGACAGTCCAGCCAGGGCGAAGGCCTGGTTTCCGGGGGTGTGGAGGAGCCAGTGCTGAGGGTCGTGCTCGGGTCGAGGTGTGAAGGGAACTGTGCTCATCAGCAGTGTCTGCAGGGCCTCGTGTGTGCCCCTTGGTCCTGTTCAAAGTCCAGCCTCTGGTTAGTGCCCACAGCGGGGAAGGAGCAGGCTGAGGCACTCCAGGTCCTGCTTCCGGTTTGCACCGGAAGTTCCTCCCCTGGGAAGCATTGTCAGCAGGGAGCCGCTCTGACTTGACGTGAAGGACTTGTGATTTGTACACATCTGGGAAGACCTCACAATTGGAGGTGCTGTGACCTCTAAGCCTGTGCTGAGACACAAGCAGAAGTCACAGCTTATTGTTTATGTTTGGTGTTTCCTTGTACTTGATTCTTAAACTGTCCCCTCCCGACCCCCACGTCTCTGTAACCCTGCCCTGGTCACATAGCAGCGGTGTTTGGACTGCTCTGGACACGTCGAGTAACCAAAGGCCTCAGACCCTTTCCAAGTGACTGCCCAGCAGTGACACAGCCAGCTGGTCACTGAGAAGGACTGGAACTTGACCTTCCCATCCCCTAACCCAGTGCTTTTTCCTGTTACTCCACAGCTGCTTCTGCCGATTCGTTAGAGGTGCAATGGATGCTTAATTTACACTTCCACTCGTGTTTGCTTGCATTTGACTCGGTAAAAGGTGAACCTTCTAGCCAAGCACTTCTTTCCTTTTACTTTCATGAAGAAGTAGCTGTGGCTGAGTCCAGGGAGAAGGTTAGGTGTCTGGTTATCAACTCATGAGTTTTTTACCTACCAACATAGGAAACAAATTGAATAACTAAACTCTATTTGAAAAGGAAGAAGCGAAAATGACCTTCAGTTAAAAATGGGACTTGGAATAGATTTATACTAAAATGTTACAGATAAATCACACCAGCTTTCTGGTGCTCCATAGCCCAGAGGAAGCTCTAGCGTGGCTTTCCACCAAGAAGACTACAACTGCTTAGTTCCAAACCCGTCTTCAGATCAGCAGGACCTTCTAAGAGGTGCCACGGTCCCCACATCCAGCACTTGACCAAGATTGGGTTGCATTTTGCCTTCCTGCTCTGACCCCCTCCTCAGTCTTCCCATCCAGCTAAATTAGAAATAACTCAGTGCCTGGGTTTGTTTGTTTTGAATGTCAGCCTCAGGTGGGGCTGATGCTGTTTTTTTAGGCACAGATTAACTTAGGATTTTTGCCTAAACAAGCTGTTTCTAGCACATGCAGCCTCCATTCCACCCACAGCTGTGGCATAGTCTGTACTCCAGGACCATTCCCTAGTCTCAGAATCATCATACACGTGGAGACCTGACCTTGCCGTTCTACAAAGGCGATGCAGAGTGAAGGCATCATTGACCTCAGTGTTACCACATGTAGATTTGTGTGCCTGACCCACAGTGAGGCTAAACACTCTGAATGTCAGCGTTTGAAGCAGAGAAAGGTTTATTGCAGGGCCAGGCAAGGAGAACAGGTGGCTCATGCCCATAAAACCCCAAACGCCCTGGAGGGAGAACCACCACACCTTTATTTAGTTTTTCAGCAGAGCATTTTTAAAGGCCAGGTGAGCGAGTGGTGTCCCCAGGTATGTGATCAGCTCTCTTGACTGGTTGATGGCAATCAACCCTTAGGCGCCAGATGGTGTGGCGGCTATGTGCTCTTGATAATCAGATATTTAATTTCTTCCCAGATGCTAGTAGAAAAGAAACTGCCTGCTGATGCAGGAGACACAAGAGACGTGGGTTCGATCCCTAGGTCAAAAAGATCCCCTGGAGAAAGGCATGGCAACTCACTCCAGTATTCTTGCCTGGAGAATCCCATGGACAAAGGAGCCTGTTGGGCTACAGTCCATGGGGTCGCAAAGAGTCCAGCATGACTGAAGCAACTAAGCATGCATGCATGGTGGTTTTTTAGCATCTGAAAAACTCAGCCATGAGATACTATAATCCGGGTACTTCTTAGAGGATATGGGAGTGGGGTCTGTCCTGAAAAGGCCTCACTCGGTTACATCAGTAGTGAGATCCCAGGTCCTGTCCACATTCCAGCACCACCAACGTATCAGAAATTCTGTTCAAGATACCTCTCCACCCAGTCCATCAGTATGAATTCATTTATAAGCATATTTTTCAATTGCCAATTAGGGTGATTAAATGCCAGTAACATGAGCTATGAACTGATTATAGAGCATTTTTATTAGCCTGCCTTTCCTCTGGTTTAGACCATGAGAACAGAGGAATAAACGTTTCAGCAGTAGGTGAGGAGGCTGATTTTGGAACATGGAGCAGCATGGAGGAGGGCAGGGCCTCAGAGTTAAGAGACAGTCCTGGGCTCCTGGGGATGAGAGAAGTGAGGGAGTGGAGGGTGGGGATGGTTGTGGGGATGGGTTTCAGAAAACTGGGAGGGAAAGTCAAGAAAGAGGAAAAGTGTTTTAGTGCTGTAATAAATTACCATAAATGGGATTGCTTAAACCACAAATACTTATTTCTCACAGTTTCAGAGGCTGGAAAGTCCAAAATTAAGTCAGCAACAGATTCAGTATCTGATGAAAGCCTTCATTTGCTGCTTCATAAACAGCCATCTTCCTGCTGTGTCCTCACGGCAGAGAGGGGCCAGTTGGCTCTCTCGACTGTTTGGTTTCTGGGTTTTTTTTTGGCAATTTTTTTAAAGCCAACTTAGATTGATTTATTTATTTTTATTAAATGTTTTGTTTTGTATTGGAGTATAGCTGAAGAACAGTGTTGTGCTAGTTTCAGATGGACAGCAAAGGAGCTCAGCCATACATACACATGTATCCATTCTCCCCCAAACTCCTCTCCCATTCAGGCTGCCATATAACCTTGAGCAGACTTCCCTAGAGAATGAACTTATGATTTCTGGGGGGAAAGATGGGGAGGAGGGATAGTTAGGAAGTTTGGGATAACCAAGGACCCACTGGCTCCTCGTCTTGTAAAAGCACTAATCACCTTCACGAGAGCTCCACCCTCTTGACCTAATCATATCCCAGAAGCCCCCCTCTCAGCACTATCACTGGAAGCTAGGATTTCACGATACAAACTTGGAGAGGACAGACACATGCGGTTCATAATTCAGAGAGAGCCCCAGAGATAAAGCTTGGTTTGCTTGACAAGTGTTCCCTGGGCCACAGGGCTGTCCTATGCCACTGAAAACCAGGAGTGACACCTTATGAACTGGCAAGATGCAGGGTATTCAGTGCAATAAAAGTCACAGGGCACTTTTCACTGTAACACCTTCCTGAGAAGTTAGTCTACCTTTTTCGTTGTTGTTCAGTCATGCCTGACTCTTTGCAACCCCATCAACTGCAGCACGCTAGGCTTCCTTGTCCTTCACTATCTCTTTGGAGTTTGCTCAAACTCATGTCCATTGAGCTGGTGATGCCATCCAACCATCTCATCCTCTGTGGCCCCCTTCTTCTTTTGTCCTCAATCTTTCTTTCCCAGCTTCAATGTATTTTCCAGTGAGTCAGCTCTTTGCATCAGTTAGCCCAAGTATTGGAGCTTCAGCATCAGTCCTTCCAATGAATCTACCTTAATGCTAGTTAAAAATCTCAAGAACACAACATACCAATTTAGTTAAAAGTTGGAGCCAATGCTCTATTTCCAATAATAGTGGATCCTGGATGATGAGACTACATCCACACAGACTTGCCGAAATAACTCGCAGCTCCCAATTAAAATGATGGTGGAAACAAAATAACTCAAATGATGGTGGAGGCCTAGTGCACCTGCTAACACTGTACCTATAAAGATCACGCAGCTCTTATTAATTTTAAATTTTAGATTTCACAAGTTCCTAATTTAGTTTTCTTCTTGAAAAAATGCTGTCTGGATGTCAGAAGAGGATCTGGACCTTCTGTCTTGAAATTCTATCCTGCAAAAGGATGTTACTTGTTTATGGGATTCTGATTCCAGTTTGAGTTATTTTTGACAGTGCTACATGTAGTATCAACATAAGGGACCACTGTGAAGAATGTCTTAATTTAATTTTCTTTCATGTGTTAATTCTGTAATTGCTTCCTAACCACACAGCTCAGCAGAGTGAGGGGCGTGAAAAACTTGCTCGGGGCGCTGGCAGGAAAGGGCATTTTGTAAGCATTTTTAGACATTGATGGGTGTACCCAGAGCATTATATGTGCTTGGGTTATTTAAGACTGTGCAATTACGAAGTAATTAGGGTAATCATTAAAGGTTTTAGATCTATGACAACTGCAGAAATCATAAATGAGATATTATGAGATTATAAATGGGATATTATGAGATTAAGAAATGATTGCACGATTAATGTGAAATATTTTCCTTCTTAAATTCATCAATATATCAAAGAAGTATCTGGCAGGGTTTGCAGCTCAGATGTGTCTCCTTGGTTATTGTGCTTCAGGATAATGGTACCTAAACCTTTCCTCAGGTACTTTCTATTGTTCTTAAAGGCTGGTTGGGATGAAGAGGCTGGCAAGGAGAGGCCATGAAAAAATGCTAGTGAGAAGAGAAATGAAATTGTGTTGAACCAATGAGAGAGAGGTTGGGGGTGAGAGGCATTGCATCGTATTTGAGAGAACCTGAGCTCTGCGGTCCCAAAACCCCGGATTGTGGGCTCAGCTCCGCCACCTGCCCTGCATTAAGGCACTTACACTGTCTGAGGACCAGTTTCCGCCTGCGAGCTGCTGAGGCTAACCTCCAGCGCCCACTCGTAATTGCAACATGGCGGAATACACCCGGGCCCTGCATCAAGCCTGCGGTGTGGTGGTCCCCTCCTCCCAGCCCCGCGCCGCCGTCTCTGCAGAGTTGTCAAGAGAGAGCGCTTTGACTTGCCCTCCGCGACCTGCCTGGGCTCTGGGGAGCTCTGGCCGCGCTGGACAACAGTTAGGGATGGTGAGGCTCAGTCTCCTGGGAAAGCGGAACAACAGGCCGGGGGATCTTTTCCAGGAAGGGCTGGCGGGAGGCAGCGCTGTCTCTCCCAGTGTACGTGGGGGATAGAAATAGTAAAATCCTTATTAATTATTATTTTTAAAAAGGTGTCTACACAGCGCCAGGCAAGAACTGCTGCTCCAGGTTCAGACTATTTTAGGTCGTTTTTCATTAAACGAAAATATTCCTTCCAGACCTGGTGTACCTTTGCCCACAGATAGTGGGTCATTTTGAATGTTGCTGGTCTAGAACATTCTAGGAATAGGGACAGCAGCTGCTTCCCAGGCCATTTGCCTTGGTTCTAAAATAGGTTGGTTTGGAGAAGGAAACAGTGGTCATTTGTGTGATTTCTTCCAGAACATAATTGCTGAGCATGAGATTCGTAACATCTCCTGTGCGGCCCAGGACCCGGAAGACCTCTCGACGTTCGCTTACATCACTAAGGATTTGAAGTCCAACCACCACTACTGTCACGTGTTTACTGCCTTTGACGTGGTGAGTAACTGCCCTCTTTAGGCTGACAAGTGTTTCTGTGAATGTACCTGGAATTTATTGAAAGCAATTTAGGTGCTTGGTTTGTTTGAGTTTTGTTTGGTTTTTTCTTACTGTACTGGGTCTTTGTTGCTACATGCGGGCTTTCTCAAGTTGTGGCGAACAGGAGGCTGCCCTCTGTTGAGCTTCTTATTGCAGTGGCTTCTCTGACTGTGCAGAGCATGGGTTTTAGGTGCAGGCTTCTGTATGTACATAACACAGGCTTGGTTACTCCTCAACATGTGGGATCTTCCTGGCTCGGGATCAAACCTGTGTCCCCTGGCTGACAGGCAGATTCTTAACAACTGGCCCACCAGGACAGCCAAACGCTTGGTGTGTGTTTGTTTGTTTGTTTTACCAAATATTAAGGTATTCATGGTATAAGATATTTTGCAGACTTCAGCTTTTCTGAGCTTTTTCTATATTTTCACTCATCCATTAAATTTCAAACTCCACTTCTATTCAGTATCTGAACTGCCATTGATCAACTACTAACTTCACTTTTTAAATTTAATGAATTCCTTTCTTTCTCTGGTACCAAAATACAGTAAATGTCTTTCAGCCTTTTTGTTCCTTCACTATGTCTGTTGGTTTCTTAGGTACCCATTTCTAAATAGTAGGACATAGTAGTCTAGGTTTGTTTGGAAGAAATATAAATTTTAGTGCCTCATACAATACTTATGGTTTTCTATATTGAATAGTAATTAAATTAGACATCTACAAACAGTAATTGGGAACAGTGAGGTTTGGTCTATTTAAATTTGACCCATATTCAGAAATTAGTCTTGTAATGATGGCCTTATGGTGTTATACCACCTATAATCTTGTTTGTCATTGTCTTAAAACTAACCTATATGCAATATTTGTTTTTCTCGTTCTGACTTGTTTTGTATGACAGACTCTAGGTCCATTCATGTTACTACAATGACCCAATTTCATTTCTTTTTATGGCTCACATTCCATTGTATACATATACCACATCTTCTTTATCCATTCATCTGTCAGTAAACATCTAGGTAACTTCTATGTCTTGGCTATTGTAAATAATGCTGCGGTGATCATTGAGTTACATGTGTCTTTTTGAATTATGGTTTTCTCAGGATATATGCCCAGGAGTGGGATTGCTAGGTCATATGGTAGTTCTAGAACCTCCAACCTGTTCTCCATAGTGGCTGTATCAATTTACATTCCCACCAACAGTGCAATTGGGTTCCCTTTTCTCCACACCCCCTCCAGCATTTATTGTTTGTAAAATTTCTCAGATTTCTTGAGAGTGGCCATTTTAATTGGTGTGGGGTGATATGTTATTATAGTTTTGATTTGCATTTCTCTGATAATGAGTGGTGTTGAGTGTATTTTCATTTGTTAGCTATCTGTATGTCTTCTTTGGAGAAATGTCTCTCTATATCTTCTGCCTACTTTTTGATTGGGTTTGTATGTTTCTGATATTGAGCTTCATGAGCTGCTTGTATATTTTGGAGATTCTTTTTCAGTTGCTCCATTTGCAAATATTTTTTCCCATTCTGAGGGTTGTCTTTTCATCTTTTTTTGGTTTACCAAATAGCATATATTAACGCATATATATGGAATCGAGAAAATGGTACTGATGAAACCATTTGCAGGGCAGCAGTGGAGATGCAGACATACAGAACGGCCATGTGGAAGCGGGGAGGAAGAGGGTGGGATGTGTTAGGAAAGTAGCACTGGCCTGTATGCACCACAATGTGTAAAATCGATGGCCAGTGGGAGCCTGCTGTGTAGCACAGGGCGTTCAGCTCCACACTGTGTGATGACCAAGAAGGGTGGGATGGGGTTGAGGGAGGGAAGTTCAAGAGGGACGGGATATATGTATGCATATAGTAAATTCACTTTGTTGTACAACAGAAAATAACACAACCTTGTAAAGCAATTATACTCCAATTTTTTAAAAAGAATACATCTTAAATAAATAAAATTTTAAAAAAACTAGTCCATATATTACAAACTTGGAAAATGAAAGCAATTCTAGAAAATAAAAAGTATTCCTTTTTGTACCTTTAAGATGGTCCAGGTTGTGAGCATAACTCTAATGCAGTACATTGGGCATTCTGCATTTGAAACAGAAGAGAGATACAACCGTGAAGTAATCCGTAATCAGAAGAATTCTATAATGTCACTCTAATTTGACAGTTCTGCTCTGCTCAAGGTTTAAAATACACATGTTTAAAGAGTTACACAGTGTTTGCAGTGGAATATATTCTTGGGATGCCAGCCCATGGTTTGGTGTCATGGGTAAGACTACTTGAAGCAGTCTTTTTCAATTCTGACAAATTCCCATGGACCAAGGATCACCAAAACCCAGAATTTGCCCCTAAGGGAAGTTAGGCTCATGCCCAGAGCACTATATTACCAGGCTGCATGTAGCCCATCCCTTGCAAATTTTGAAGATTGGAAACAGGAAAGAACGCTCGTGTGCCTTTAAATTTTTTTTCTATTTTCGGAGGCATGAGGAGAATAATATACAGGAGGTCTGTGTTAACAGTTAAGGACTGCAAAGCCAAACCCTTACAGTATCCCTGGATGCACTTGTTCCCATGGAATCAACATTATTGATTATAGCCATGTCAGCATTAGGTTTCTGGTGCCTTTAGACGTAATTTACCATTCTTGTGAGATGCAGTTGTTTCTTTAAACAACAGAATTTATCTTTCTATCCCCACACCTTTTGGTTTGCATGATACACCCTTCTCTGGGAGAGTTGCCTTATTGTCATAGAAAGGACGAGCTGCTCAGAGTTCACATTCCAACTTGCTGCCTGCTCCCTGATGTTAGATGAGGAGCAGGACTCGGAGTTCTGATTTCCTTTGTCTGCAGAACAGGTGCAGGGATTTGTCTTCACAGGTTTTGTTGGGAATGAAACGAAGGGACATATGTAGAGGCTCATAAACAATGTGTCATTGTCAGCATCACCACCACTTCTGTCTCTCTCCTTCCCTTCTGACCTCACAAGTCACTCTGGCCTTTTCCTGATAAAGGCATAAGGTAGATTTTTCAGAAGCATATTTATGGTCCCACGTTTTCCCACTGCCCTTGCAAAAGAACTGAAAAAAACTAGAAGAATAAATAAACAGAAGCATACAGAAAGAAAGCATAGACTCTGTAGGCCTTCTGTTGGTCTATTGCTTCTATATAGTGTTTTCATTGAGTGTCAGCATTAATATTCCAGTATTGTCAGGATGAATTCCAGCCTTCCCTTGGGAATTGCAGTGTTTCTTTCTAAATTGGTTTTAGAGTAATATATAATTTGCCTCCATAAGAGAATCTAAAACAGTGTTCTCTATTCAAACTAAAAATGATACCCGTGGGCCATCTGGCCCCTTGAGTTTTTCAGCTGGTGTATATGTGATGCCAGAATTCTGAGGCGAAATATAGGGGGAAAATAGTCAACTGTTTGGTTTTAAGACCAACACAATGTCCCTGATACATTTTGAAAACATGTGGAGAATTGCTTCACCTTTTATCTTTTCATCCAGATGTTTGATTTAATGTAGACATTCACTAGCTTAGGAGTCTGGTATCAGCTCCAAAGGATTTTCATCTTATGCCGTGAATCCACCATTTTAATCCTCTCTAGGTGAACAGTTTGTCTAACTTCAAAAATAGTCACAAAGGTCACCAGTCTTGACCTGGGCCTTCGAGCAGTTTTGAGATGCCCCAAGCTTTGTTTGCGCGCACACACACACACAAAAAGCCTCTTTGAGCATGGATTTCATGCCTTTATGTAGGGCAGTTCAATATTCAGTCCATTCTTGAAGCGATAACATTCTTTTGATATGAATCAGTCCCCCAGGCTCCCCAAATGGCAAAATAATACCTCCAGTATACATTTAGTCTTTCAGCTGATGTGCTTGGAGTATACATTTGCTTGCTTTTTATTGGAGTATAATTCCTTTACAGTGTTTTTCTGCTGTAGAACAGCGTGAATCAGCTATATGTGTATATATATATCCCCTCCCTCTTAAGGCTCCCTCCCGCCCCCGTCCGTCCCGCCCGTCTAGGTTACCACGGAGCCCCAGGCCACGCTCCCTGGCCGTCTGCTTTACACACGCAGTGTACACGTGGCAGGGCAGCTCTCCCAGTTCAGCCCACCCTCTTCCCCCCGCCGCCCCCTGCCACGACATACACATTTGTAATTGCAGTTATTGCTACTTTCACCTTGTAGATCTTTTACAAGTCACAGCAAGTTTTTCTGAATATCCCCTATTATCGAGAAAATTCAGTGATAGGAGAACTTCCAGTTTACAGAGAGTTGGATTTGAAAGTCAGAACATTTTTCGCGTAGAAATCCTGTGGTCTTGGAAGGGAAGCTCAAGCCCCCCTACAAAAGCAAGCATGGGAATTTAACATGGTTCCTTTACTGAGGCACTGCAGGGCCCTCCCAAGGCTGAGACACCCGAGGGGGTGGAGTGCCTGTGTTTTCCAGGGTCATTTGGCCGTGGGAGCCTCTTTTCAGGAGAGCTCCTCACGGGCCTGGCGTTCTGCGGAACACACTTCAGAAAATGTTTCGCTTTATCTTCTCTAAGCTTGTTCTCATTCCTAAGAATCTGTTAGGTTGGTACAAAAGTAATTGCAGTTTTTAACCGCAATTTTTAAATTTCGTGCCATGAATTTTAAATCATTATAACTAGGCTCCAACACATCTTTATTAGTCAAAATAGGAACCACTACAATCAACACATTTTTGCCAAAAAGAAATGTTTGTTTATTTCTGTAGCATGCTTCAGGATTCCAAACTCTTGGAAAGCATTTTCTGCATCCTGCTGCTTGTGGAAGCATTTTCCCTGCAAAAAATTGTCAAGCTGCTTGAAGATGTGGAGGTCAGTTGATGAGAGGTCAGGTGAATATGGCAAATGAGGCAAAACTTTGTAGCCCAATTCATTCAACTTTTGAAGTGTTGGTTGTGCAACGTGCAATCAGGAGGCGTT